AACAAGTTGAGTCGAATCTTACAATTAGAAGATTGCCAGCTAAGGCGCTTCAACATGATTTCGTTAGTGTTAGGGAAGGGGAGAGGGGAATGTGGTGGAACTACCACCTTCCTTCTTGTCAACCTACATATCTAACCACTTAGCCACAGATAACGAATTTTTTCGAGCCACGTAATTGTATCTTTTCGCTGATCGAACTTCGTATTGAGAATAGGGATTTATTCTCGGCGGTGCAACGGTTAGCATACGCTTCCGGAACGAGTGAGATCTGGATTCGAATCCCGGCTGACGCAAATGTTTCTGCACAGCACTCCACATTATTGGGTATAAAATAAGAATTTATTCATCGGAAGACGGTTATCCTGAGCACATCAATCAAGACGCGTTTACGCCAAAAATTTCAAAAACTGAAATTCCGACTTTGATTTCTTCAAAAGTTATAGAAAATATGAAACTTGGAGAAAACTGTAGAGAGAACTATGCAAACCCCTGAGTCAAATTTCTTTAAGATGTCTATATGTTTAGTTCGGGCACATTTATTGACCAAACTTTCAATAATTTGTCATATCCATCAAACACCTAAGCACCAGCGCATAGAAGCTTCTTCACCCAGGATTTTGACGAGTTGTTTGATACGCCAAAAACACGGAAACATCATGGAAGAAATTTTGCAGCTTCTCAAGAAGTTTATGGGTATTCATAAATGATATTTCTCGACGAGAACAGCTAGATAAACACCATTCAGAAACGTGTATATATTGCAATATGAATGTGCTATTATAGAAAAGCGTGTTGGCGAAGAATCGAAAGTCCTATCGTTTTTATTTCAACCGATATGATTCACTATGAGCTATAAAATGTATCTTTTGCCAAAATATACTCCTAGTGTTAACGGTCACGAACGCGTTTAAACCGATTTATGCCACAAACTTTACCCTACCGCGTCCTTATACTGTTGCCAAAACTGGCTACATAGAACGTGGCTCTCAATCAATGAGACACCAGATATTAGAGCTTGCTAAATTGCAAGAACCGAAAGTAAAGATTTTAGAAAGGCACCTACCATCGTTTGATGGAACTGGCATAGGAGGCATTGGAATTCCCATTGGATTGAACCTGGGTGGAACAGGTCCGGGAGGTGGACCTGGCGCTAAAATGGCGGTGACTTTTACTGAAGATAGAGAGATGAATAAAGTAAAGCGTAGTTCCACACTAGCTTACGTTGTCGTAAAGGCATGACAGGTGCATACTTCTGGAACTTTGGCGCATCAAAGTCGGGAACTGAAACATCAATTGTAGTTTGATGAGCTTCACAAACAAAAGCAAGAATCGGAAAGATGGGAACACTTCGAAACCAGTGTGATGTTCGCCCCTCATCAACTCCAGGACTAGTTGCTTTACAGTCTGAAGGTTTCGCGCGACAACTGAATTAAACTCACTTATCACCGGAGCCAGGTCATCTTCAGCCGGCAAGGGGACGTGATACGGATCATGTTCAGCATCGCCTTCTCCCTCACTATCACTAAGCTCCGGTGGTAAACCACAAGGAGGACCAGGTGGACGAATTCCTTGTCTTCGTGGGCCACCACGTGGCAGTTTAAACTCGACCTTCTTTCTAAAATGCACCCTATCTGATCTGCACAAAAACTCAGAAGAAATGCGAATGCGAACTAACAAAACAAATACATACAACAAGCAATGATTCTTAAAATATCTCTTCACATCTTTGTAACATTGTAAACAGCTTTACACGTACTTGACAGGTACAATCGGTTGCGGTCCCATAATTTGCACTTTGCGAAGTTCTCCTTCGGCAAGATCTCCTTCAGGAAGTGGAATAAAGTTGATATCGGCATTTCGAGCAAGACGTTCTTGCTCTAAAAGAACTGATTATATCTCACCAACACAAGCGAACACTATGCATACGATAATGCTGAATGTTATGCGGAACTTTGAGCTTCGAGCGAGAGCTGAACCTGCATCTCACACTTCCCGAGTGCATGTTACCACCGCACTACCGGACTACTGTTCCTGCAAGTTCAGAAGCTCTCAGCGTAAATAGGTCCAATCCCATTATGTGCCTACCAGACTAAACACGGTTAGCTAGTGACAGAATCGATTCCTTGTATAGCGGGAAGAGTAATGGTAGAACAAGAGGCCGCCCGATAGTGCAGTGGCTAGCACGCGTCCCCGGAAAGGCTGATGCGAGTTCAACTACCGCCCGAGGTTCAGGATTTTCCATATCACTCAACATTTCTGGATACACAGTTAAAACGTCATTTCAGTGCCGAAAGGTCTAAATTGCGAGATTCTTGTCGATAGAAGTGAGAACTTCTCACAAGACCCTCACGAATTCGAAAGAATCTGTAGAATTGGGAGATACAGAGACATACCAGCAAGGGCTTGTAGCTTCTTGCAATCGGAATAATAGTGTTGTAGTTTCTCGTTCAATTCTTTCAGCTCTTTTTCATCTTTTAACGTTTGTAACACTGCACGTCGCTTATTTACCATTTCCATAATCGTCTAAAAAAGTAACTTCTGGAAAAAAACACCTCAAATTCAACTTAATTCGGAATAAGGGAAGAATTTCAAACGAGACCACAGAAGTATGCGAATGCTCGACTACTTACCCTTTGCTTTTTCTTGAGAACATCGATATGGAATTGAGGTTTGTCGAGTCCAACAACTAAAATACGTCTCAATTAATCAGAAGAAGATTTTTAGCAGATTGATGTGCACTTTCAGGTATCAAAAAAAAATAAAGGACGAAGTTTTTGACGCTGATCCATTCATGAGAGATGCGCCGTGCATTCGTCTCCATTCGTAGCATCCTTGAAGGTGATTGAATGCATACTTTACCTTTCCAATAACTCTCGGTGCGCTACTAATGTAACAAGTCAGGGCCGCATTCTCCCAGACAATCTTATTCACTGACACCGCAGAGATGGCAGGCTTGGTGAGCCTTGAGCGGGGATCGAACCATCGACCATCGATAGGTCGATGAGGTGGTGTAGCGCAGAACACCTCTAACCATTGCGTCGTACGCGTCCACTGTCACAACATCACAATATACACCTAACAATGGAGTGAAAATTCAACAAGATGAGGAAAAAAAACTGACTTTGTCTCTCGATTGCGAGCATTTTGCTAGTCGATTCATCAACGTCGTAGCACTTAGCGATGGTCTGACGAATTTGTTGTCGATCTCGTTTATTCTTCTTGTTTTCACGTCTTCGTTCAAGCTTCCTTGCCTGGAAAAATAGGGTGAAATATCATATTTAAGAGATTTGAGATGAAGGATCGTCACGTCTTTATCGTCATTACCTGATCTGTCGGGGCACGAAAAATCCGTCCGCTTTTTGTCTTTGCAGCTGATGGCATGGTTTACTGAAAAAATCAATATTATTAACCCCAAAGAGACCAACGTCGTGTACCAGATGAGGTACACGACCGGTCGAAGGCCTTTCTCGCTGATCAAAACTTTCCTCTTAGACAATTGGCGATCGTTCAAAAGTTCAAATCCTCGCGACTTCAATAATATGTTCGATTTTGATGAAGCCTTTTTACTACGGGAATAGCAGCAGCGGGAATAAAATTATGTTTTACACTCAATTTGCTTTATTCGCTCGGCTGGAGCTTGTATACGACTCTTCGACAAACTATCACGAGTTATTCGATGGCTCAAATCGCGAAATTCGATGTTTAATTGGTTTTTGAAAGGTTATCATAGAATGATTTAAGATATATAAGAGGATTACGTTTCGCAGTCAAAGTTTTTGCCGTAAAAAAATTATTATACACGAAAAACGTATGCTTATGTAGAGAAAATCACGAAGTATCAGAATAAAGCAAAAAAACCGAAAGTTTCCAACCTAATTGGAGAAAAAGAACCTAATTGAATAACAAAAACCGCGCGCCCCTTGCGAGTTGCGCTGTGCGACCGATCACGTGCCGTCCCGAAAGGGTTAAGAGATAGCCTAGTTGGCGCGAAATTTGAAACCTCAAAGAAAGAAAAGAAAATGGGAAGAGAGAAAACGGCACCGAACGACTGGAATTTCGCCTGGCACCAAGTCGTAAAAATTCCTCGATGAGCTCTATGCATACTTCTTCATAAAGAATAAAGGATAAAGCTCTCAGCGTCGATCAGTTCCCGAGGGATGCGCCATGCATTCCACTCCATTCTGCGAATCTGGCCTTTACAACGACTCGCGGTGGCCTCCCGGCTGTATCGAGTCTGTGCTGCTTATCCACCTCAATAAGTCTAGTACCACTTTACCGACCCCGGAAGGGAAGAATAGCTTGGTGAACTGTGTGCGAGATCAAACCATCGACCTTGTGTGCGACGCAGGGCAGCTCTAACCACTGCTCCAGATGCGCTCACATACTCCTTCACATACGTACAGTTAATGGACGTTGCAAAGAGGAAACAGACTTGAAAACCACACAGAAAACCCAGGTGGGCGAGGTAGCCGGATGGCTAACGAGGCGATGCATCGGCAGCACGGCTCGGCTTCTTCCAAGATTCCAAGGGGAATCTTCTCGACCGACATCCTTGAGCATTCATGGAGAGGACGAAATCCTCAGGCAGCAATCGAAGCAACACGTGAGTTATTCGAAGACCTTCAAAACGATGAGCACGGCGAACCGAATCAAATGCAAGAAGTGCTGGAATGCACACAGCATAGTGTGATGAGGGACTGTGTATGAAGTAAATTTATAACAACTAAACGAGTAAACAAATAAACAAACAAACAAGTAAAGAAACAAAGAAGCAGGTAAATAGTAGGGTAGCGGACCGTTGACAGTGAGCGGAAATTCCGTACTGATCTGGGTCAGCAGTTGTCCGTAGAGCGCACTTAACAAATGTCGGAGCCTCTCTGTTAGGAGAACCCAGCAAAAAAACCCTGACAAAGTAAAGTCCAGATTTCTAGTGTGCATTTTTTCGTAGTTTTATGGTGTTTCGAATATACCTAAGAGAACTGAGTGGTGATCAAAAGTACGACCTCGGGCGCGAGTCAAACCCGCGTTTCATCCATAACGGGAGCGTGTGCTCTACCACTACACCACAGAGGTACATTTGCACCACCACTCATATCACAACAGCTGTCAGTTCAACTGGGTTTATAAAGCGAAACTGCATACGCGACCACACCTGTTAAAAGTTGGTGGCTGATAGCTAACATAGAGATGTTGAAGATCGAGTGATCGCGCAGCGGTACCTCGTTGGTGTAGTGGTAGCACACGTCACTGGTATGAATGAAACGCGGGTTCGACTCGCGTTTGGGGTCGTATTTTTGCCCTTCACTCAGTTCTCCAAAGTAAGGTCCCATAAATGGCAAATTAAACTCAACGTAGAATGACTGATGATGAAGAAATCCATCTCGTCGACTATTTTCAACCCCGCTTTGAACACTTTAAATAGTCTGTGAGAATGTTTAGAGCTTTTTCGAGGTTGTTACGCTAGAGCCATGCGTACGTTTCGCGATGTCGCCCGCTTCATCAGTGGCCCACGGCCCCAAACTGAACCCTACTTTCTAGCAGGGACGGGGAGACGTTATTTATAATAATAACACAATATCATGTGCTGTTTAGAGGCATTTCGATGAAGCTATGTTAGAGCACATGCTACAGTTGGTTGCTGACAGCTTCGATATCCTGTATCACGAAAAGAGTGATGGCAGTATCCTCAGAAAGAGTGAGACACAGGTCCGACTCCGAAACGAAGTCCAAAGTTATGCATTTCACTCAGATTCCTTGAATACATCGCAGTTAGTCTATGCGAATGTTTAGAGGCATTTCGGTGTTGCTATGAAGAGCCGTGCACATATATCGGAGATGTCGCCCCTTCAACAGTGGCTCACGTCTCACACTGAATCCTACTTTATAGCAGGTATAGGGGGACTTATTTGTGGTGACAACGCGTGATATTGTGCCATCACCATTTCTTTGCAGTCGATAGGCTACTGCTGAAGAGGGTGACATCGCCGAAACGTACGCATGGCTCGGACATACCAACATCGAAGAGACTCTGAACATTCTCACGGACTATATTGAATATTTGAGGGGAGATTTAAAAACAGTCGATGATATAGCAATCTATACATTTACTACCAACCGTAATCCATTGATCGAAAAATGGTAACAACTCAGTGTCATGTTCTGTCATCATGAATAACGTCTTCCAATCTTGGCTATAAAGTAGGGTTCCTGCGGGTGTAAGCCACTTCTGAAATGAGCACACCGCCTGAACGTACGCATGGCTCTCGCATAGCAAATCGGAAAGTCTCTAAACATTCGCAGTCTCACTCTTCCTGAGGATACTGCCATCACTCTTTATGTGATACAGGACATCGAGGCTGAAAGAAACCAACTGTAAGCGGTTTTTGACCTGCTAAGTTCATTTCAGCATTAAACCCAGTTGATCTGACAGCTAGTGAATTCAGATATATACGTATCACCTGTATCACCTGTCGTCCCGTTGATTGTCGAGTGACTCGAGCGGGTACCAGCAACTCTTCCATTTTTCCCTATCGCGTGCAAGAGTAGCCCAGTGGGTCCTCCTCGCTCTAGGGATTCGCTGAGCATCATATCTTTCTTCCATCGCTTTCGTGAAGAAATCGCACCAACGGGTCAGTGGTCTTCCTCTAGAGCGCTTGACGTCCCGAGGAATCCAGTCGGTAACGGCTCTCGTTCCATCGGTTGTCGTTGAAGCGCATCACGTGTCCGGCCCACCTTATTTTCGATATCCTGGCGTGTGGAACGGCGTCTCTGATTTTCGATCGTTGACGTAGGTCGGAACTTCGAATCCTTTCTCTCATTTGCGAAATACGGGATACTCCTAGCATCGACCTTTCGACTGCGCGTTCAAGAACTCCAAGTGATCTTTCATCCTGCTCACGTAGCAACCAGGTTTCTGCTGCATATGTTAGGGCAGGGATAATTGTCGAGTCGAAAAGGTGGGCACGGAGTCGGCATGTTCTTTGTCCTCTTCACTACATCTTCGATGCTGTTAAACGTTCCCCAAGCCGCTAAGATATATACGTACGTGCAATATATATATATATATATATAATAAATATACAGGCATGTGCATGTACGTGCATGTATATTTACATACATATATGCACATGTATATTCATACATACGTACATATACATGTACCTATATATAAATACATATCATATACGTATGTATACTTTTTTTAGCACTTTATTTGATCCGTCATCACAGCGTTTTTTTCACTAGTCGGATACAACATTTCTAGCATTCAGTTCGTTTTTCATCTTCTTCTTTAACCACTTGCCGCGACGAGCATTACAACCATTTGGCCGCGCCCGCCACAGGCATATTATATATATATATATATATATATATTGTATATATATATACATATATATATGTATATATATATACATATATATATACATATATATGCATATATATACATATATATGTACATATTTAGACATATATATATATATATATATATATATATATATATATATATAGGCATTTACATCCTTAGGGAATGTTTTTCTGATTTAACCTCCCTTTTGACTATTTATAAGCTGCTTGAGCTTATGTAAACTTTCTTTTTATATGAATTCATATGGTTAAGTGCAATTTTTTGAGGTACTGTGTACTTTCCATTTTCGGGTTACCTTCTGCATCAACACGTTCACCATTCGACATAGCTTAAAAATGTCGTGGAAAATTCTTTATTTGAATAATTCACTAAGAGTCAATTATGCCTAGAACTACTGCCGTTCTTGGTAGAAAGGATATCATTAACGTAACAAATCTTATCACTCCAATCCAGACTGGCCGTCAAGAATTCATTAATCTATAAACTGGTCAAGCTATTATATTACTTGTCATGCGAAAGTGTTCTAAGGCTCACAATGTTCTAACTTTTTAGTTGCTACTAAATCCGCTTTCGTGGCATGATACGATGTGAAATAGTCACGAAAGTGCTGAAAGATGAGTAACATTCGTAATTTCAGATGACTTCGAACTTGCGATTACCGTTTCTGGAGACTCACGCGGTGTTCACGGCACCACTAACCCCTTTGCTCCGTCTTTCTCCCAGCTACGTTTTGAAGTAATCATGCGGTCTGCAATCATTGTTCGATGAGATTGATCTGGGAATGTAAATCTGTACCTATCTAGGGAAGCTGAAGGCGTAGTTGAAAATTTGCTACGAAGAAATTATTCGATCAACATTCACGGTATGTATAACGAAGACGACATTCCTCGAACAACCGCCGAACCCAGGCATTACCTCCAAAAACCTTCGCACATCATGCATACACGGAAACGACCTGAGTGAAAGTGTTGGCATTCGTGTGTTAAATGAGCGTTATGCACTTGTGCTAGCTGATGAGTAGCTGAAGTATGAAGGCTAAAGTTCTTGACGTTAACCCATTGATGATTAGCGTGTTAAGCAGGCGACGTCGCGCTATTGCTAGAACGCCACTAGCAGTGGGCGGCATCTGCGTATCTGCAGTGGTGTCCTATGTCTGCTCCTTCTTTCTCACGAGACAGACGCCGCCATTACAGTAGCTGATTGAACCGTGAGGAAAATGAGAGTGAGAAAGAAGGCAGAGCAGAGTACGCCCTGGGTATGGATAACCAGTTCTGACGAACTATCCAGAGGTTATAAATCGAAGAAAATGACAAGGTTATGCGGAAAAATTTACAAAACAGGGCTTGTTTGTCAACAAAGATTTTGCTGATCGCAATACAGTACCGCTCAACAGCTCCGCTTGAGAATTTGTCTATCAATCTCAATTATGAGCAATATTGATCGCTGCAATCTTTGTCATTTCACGTGCTCTACTTACTACTTTTAGTCCACTAAGCTTTCGAGATGCTTTCCTGTACCTCGTCCAGTTCTCACCTCTACGAGTAACTCCAATAAAACACTTTTAGGTGACTTTGGTAGGCCCATCAGTGCAGATGTCCCTTCACACCCTCTCCCTAAGGGATGCGCTAATATGTGGCCTTCACAATAACTTGTGGCGACCTAAGCGATGTATGTAAGTCATGCTGCTATTACCCCGACAAATTTAGTACTAATTTACAACCGGAGGGATGGATGACTTAGTGGGGTGACATATAGGGTGTCTTACTAAAATTATCTCTGTAGAAGCTTTTTAGTAAGATTCCACCATGTCATGATGATAGTGCTCGCTCAGAACCTGGGTTCGCCTCCTCGCATGCATCGTCCCAAAGATCTTCAGATACGCTAGCAGGTAGCGCTGCGTCTCTGCCTAGGGATGTCAAGCTGTCCTGCGCCAACCTTCCCACGAGATGCGCCTGCATTCCCACGAGACACATCTCTTCCACTACAGTAATTGAGTGAAAGTTACGTCACGCGGCACGGGGCGAAAGGTGCCGTATGGTCCCTCAAAGGTGAATGCAACATCTGGCCTTCACAGTAACTCACGGTGGTCTACCGATATATCAAGTTACTGCTACTATCTTCCCAGATAAGTCTGGTATAGATTTACCGATTTAGAAAGAATAGAATGCATAGTGAAACCTGTTATGCGGAATCGAACTGATGACCACGTATATGTTGCAGTGCATCGCTAACCACTGTGTTACAAGTGATGAGTGGGTTATACATGTTAATATTTATAAACGACCATACATCGCGATACTTTTTGTACTCGACTCATTTCTCGCATCTCTCATTCACAAACACGTTCGGATTTGCTTGGCTGTGGGTTCAGCTACTTGAAAACTTTTGTTTTTTATGGCTGTATCGCCGTATGAATTGGAGGAAATCAGTTGAACCGCGACCAGTGGTATCAATGCCGCAGCCTGTATGAGAGGATTAGTGAACTGGGCACTCCCTGATTAGTCACCTCGTCTTGACAGAAATTATTCGAAGGTAAAGAATTTAGAACTAATGATGAGACGGAAGCACCGGTAAATTCGTAGATCGACAGAGAACTGTAGGAGCATGCAGCCAAAGTAATGTGCTTGCTGCACCCAACTGCTTCGAGCTGACCGATCTACGGGTGCAATCGCATTTGCGTAAGCGCTAGTCACCAGGCGTCTATGGGAGTTAACTACTGAGAAATACCTATCTGCATACTTTAAAGAGTACACTTTGACACAATTAGTGGCACATGGTTGAATAATTTATTGTAGTTGGTTAGTTTTGAAATACGAGGTGTTATTCAACTCAGTGCAATTGCTAACTTTGTAGAAATGACAACAAAATTTTCTTGTCATGAGATTTCTGATCACAGAATTAAGATGGGTAAGATGAGTTACC